TCCTCTCCCCGGTCCTAGACAACCTTCGGCTTCTCGTTGGGTGTCCCTAGTCCTGGCAAAAACTAGGGACGCGGGCCTTAACCGAGACCTTTGAAGGCACTCTCACCTTCTTTCTCAAAATCTCTCGCAATCAAATATATATGTAAACTTAATATCCACTCCGCTCTTTCAGCAGTCTACTACAGAAAGACCCGGTCTCCATCTTGGCCCACCGTAGCCTAGTTGATCGGACCAGGACTACGGCCCACCGCATTGTTATTTAACGACAGTACCCTCGTTGGTTACGCAACGGTAGAGTTTTTCCTGATAGGCACTCAATCAGGACCTCCCAAAATTTGAACCTTCACTATCCCACGGAGTAATTTTCCTGGGGCGGGTAACTCCCCTTAAACTCTTACCCCGTGGTCCCGCAACCAGGTTGCGCCGGTTAGCAGCCATCCAATGGGGTTATGCCCTAGAGATACTAACTTCTTTTCCGTTAGCTTGACCTTTCTTCAATATGTCTCATAATTTTCACCAGTGGTTAAACGGGTGCGTCGCAAAATAAAATCACAGGCCCACTGCGCGATACGCAAAGGTCCGAAGGCATTTACCAGCCCTCCTTCAATAGGCATGGCCTCCTTCGCACGCTTACAAGCATAATCACCGCTAAATCCACCAGGTCGTGACCCCTGACTTGATCAGAGCCAGCAGCCACCCACCCTGAGACATCTCTCGCCCTGTACTCATTGCGACTTTTTCAAACATTTCAAATAAAAAGTGGTCCCTTTCCATCAGACTTTATCACCCATCGAACAACTCATCATGCCATAAATCAGTTTACTCACTTCTGAGGATGAGTCTTTCAACCAAAAACCACCCCCCTTTTCCAACAATCCAAAAAGGGCTCTCTTCATAACCAAAACACCCCCTCTTCCAAAAATCGCGAGGGGTCTCGCCATAAAACAATGCATTCCCTCTTCTAGAAATCACAAGGGTCTCATCATAAACAAAACACCCCCTCTCTCAAAATCACGAGGGGTTTCGTTACATCACAAAACATCCCCTCCCTTTTCCAAAATCTAAGGGGGTCCCATCATAAAACAGAACATCACTGGGAGACCATCTTATTGGTCCTCATCACAACTTAGATAACTTTCAGAAACGGACTGCGTTTCCTCACCTTATACTCTGCCTTATCAGCTGCCGTGGGCAGGTCGCACAAGTATACCGAGGAGTAGACAGTTTTACTTACAATCATATTCATAATACCCAAGATACATAAAAGGTTTTTCACACATTGTTCACACAAACTCATCATACATCAGAGTACAACCACACATGTGAGAGAGACAAGTGATCGTCACATATAAGAATGGTCCCTGAAGGAAACCTCATCATAATATACACTCAGGGAGTACAATGTCTCACACAGAAAGTGTCTCCAAATCATAGCTTGCTTAACTCAAACCACACCAAACCCACACTGACAACTACCCTTAGAATACATGTCAGATTTGTCTCTCAAAGGCCAGGGCGTAGGCCACCTAAATATGTACATGCCTCATCTAAACCACCCTGAC